CCTCGCGATTTTAGTGGTGGTGGTGGCACGCCAGTGTGCAATGGTGTGTTGAGCTCTGTAATGGTGCATATCTGGTGTTGTGGATTGGTGGCTTCAAATCTAGTTGGTGGTTGATCGGTGGTACGGTGGTGATTTGGGTTCATAGGTTTGAATTTGGTTGGTGGTGGTACTTTGGGTGCAACGGTGTTGGCAATGTGGTGAATTGGGTGGTGGTGAAATTGTGGGTTGTGTATTGTTGGTGGATTTGGTGGTGGCAGTAGTGGTGGTTTTTGGAAACGATGAAGGTGGCAGTTGGTGGCTGGAGAGTTGATTATTTGTGGTTTCGTGTTAGTAGTGGTATGTGACCACTTTTTGACGCATGTGACCAACCATTTAATTATCTGTGACCAATTGTTTAAGTGTGACCTAAAAATCTGACAATCTGTGACCAATTAATTTGATTTTGAAATAATTTATGACCTGTAAATTTTTTATCTGTGACCTCGAAATAATCCGTGACCTACAAAATTTTTAATTTGTGATATCAAAACAATCTGTGACTAATTAATTTGATAATATGTGACCAGTAAATTGAATCTGTGACCATTATTTAATAAATATTTTTAATTAATTAAATATATACCTGAATTTTAAATTTTCAAATTATTTACCTGATTTTTGAAATGGTGTAAAGAATACACCTGAAATATGAATTTTTCCCTACTCAAAATTATATTTTTACTTGGGCCTTGTCAAGTGTCGTGGATAGCGGTGGATCCAAGATTTGAATCAGTAAGGGCAGACGTTGCCGTCGATCGTTGGTTCTAATAAAATATTAAGAGCCCGTTTGATGTCTTTTTTTTCTTTTTTCTTTTTCTTTTTTGCATAAAATGTATTTTGGAATAGTGATTTAATAGAGAATGCGTGAATAAAAATAAGGAAAAATTTTGAATTTGTGTGTAATATTATTTTATTGAAAAATTTATGGTTGAAAAGAAGAGAGAGAAAAATACATTTTAAAATAAATGTGAATCAAACAAGACCTAAAATTTAAACATAAAAATTATTTTGTTCAAATTGTACATATATAATTCTATTATAAAAATAAACCGTACTCACTAAATGATATTTTTGCCAAGTTTTGTAGAATTCAAGGTAAGGGCACGGATTCGAATATTTACAATTGCATTTAAATCGCTAAAACCTAACAAACATTATTTTGTTCAATTTAGTGTCAAAATTCAAGCTTTCAATAATTCTAACAAGAGCTCACACATTCGGATCCCCTTCGACATCCTTATTATTGCATTAATTTTGGTAAATATTGTAGACCTAAAAACATTGCACAATAAATTGGTTGGTAAGGGATTCAAACCCTTGACATCCAATAATTACATGTAAGTTTTAACCAACTTAACTAGAAGAGATATCTAAAATTAGCATGAATTACCTGTAAAAAATAATAATAAAAATAAAAATTCTCATGATGGATCCAGCAGGTGCTAGATCCGCCATTTGTTGTGGAGCAATTAAAAAGTCGAATAATATTTTCAACTTGGAGATGCTTTGCAAGAGTATTTTGCAACATGGTCTGCAACTGATCCGTGTTATTGGTTTTATCCTCAACTAATTGTTTATTGCAACCTCGTACCAACCTATCATTAAGATGGATTTCATCATGGATAAAGCCTCGAGTATAGAATATGTACCGAAACTAATGTGACAGTGCGCAATTGGTAAGGGATTCGAACCCTTGACATCCAATAATTACATGTAAGTGTTAACCAACTTAACTAGAAGAGATATCTAAAATTAGCATGAATTACCTGTAAAAAATAATAATAAAAATAAAAATTCTCATGATGGATCCAGCAGGTGCTAGATCCGCCATTTGTTGTGGAGCAATTAAAAAGTCGAATAATATTTTCAACTTGGAGTTGCTTTGCAAGAGTATTTTGCAACATTGTCCCCAACTGATCCATGTTATTGGTTTTATCCTCAACTAATTTTTTATTGCAACCTCGTACCAACCTATCATTAAGATGGATTTCATCATGGAAAAAGCCTTGAGTATAGAATATGTACCGAAACTAATGTGACAGTGCGCAATTGGATAGTTTCTTTTTTCTATCTTCGAATGATATTGTACATCTTTTGCATGTAAAAATTTTCTGTCAAAAAATTTTACACTTATAACATGATTATTTCATCATTATGACAGCTAAAACTAAATTTATTATTTAAGGGGAAATTTATAAAATGGACCCTGTGTAGGGTGTATTTACGTTTGGGTGATTACGTTACCACTAAAAAAAAACTTTTGTTCCACTACAATTTAAATATTCAATAAATTTGACATTATAAAATGACATAATAACCCCTTAAGTTTCTTCCTTTAATTGATGAATCTGTCTTTCCATACCAGTTATCTTCCTTTTTCTTCTATCTCCATTTCATTTTTGTCTTCACATATTTTCAATATATAGCCGGGCTATAATAATCCATGTTTGATTAAACTTCTTTTTAGTTTATATATTGATCAAACTTTATTTTTAAACACATATTTTTATTGGAATCATAATTATGAGAACCGCCAACTTATAATCTCAAAAACTTTACCTAGCATTTTGTTATCAAGAGTGAATATAAAAAATAACAAAAAGGTCCCGACCCAGTGACACCACAACATAAGCCCCCTTCCGAAAATCACTGTCTATTAGAAACTTAAAAACGAGAATGGAAGAAAACTATCCAACTTCTTTAACTTTATTTTTTAAACACGTTTTGCTCTTATTTTGTAGGGATTAAAATCAGAATTTTAATATATTTTAATAAAAGTTGGTAAATATGTGTGGTTTAAAAGTTGTGGATTCAATGAAATATGTGATTAAAATTAATTTTTGATTTTGATTTAGACTAAAATCAAGAATTTAATCCCTACCAAACATGGACTTTACGTACTACATTTTAGAGTATGGTAACAAAAAGAAACTTTTGTTAAAAAAATTGACAAATATGTCACTATAAATAGTTAAAGAGACCAAAATATTCACAATGAAAACAACAAATCTCTTCACTTTATATCACATTATATTTTTAATTTTTATCTATTGATTATAGGATATTACTTAGAATATGGCAACTATAAATTTTCTTCGGAATATAGCAACTGCGACTTTTTATTGGAATATAACAACTATGAACAAAAAATAATAATTATAATACTCATTTTTATTAATAGAACATTTTTTCTTCATTTCATGTTAGAGTTGAGGAAACAACATAATTGACATTATAATCTCACATAATAGAAGAAAAACTTTAAAAATTTGTTTAATGAAACATCAATGACTAAAAAATGATATACAAAATGTTATATAAGGTAATATGTAGGGTATAATTTTTTT